GAGGTCATAAAAAATAAAGTAAAATAAAATATCCCTGGCTCTTCGGCGCAGTTAGCTGCTCCGCTATTCATTTTCACATCTCGAGGGGCCTCGTATGAAAAGCCACACACGCCTGTGGGCGTGCAGAGGGAGCGTGGCCAGGTCCCTGCAGGCTCAGGGCTGCGGCCTGCTGCCCTGGGGCCCCGGGCACAGCCGGGCTCTCGGCGCCACCCTCGCCGGCCCACCCCTCCCGTGCAGTGGCTTAATTTCCAAAGCGTTGTCACCGCTGGTGCCCACCTGAACCACACCCTGAGCTCCAGGCCAGAGGTTTGAGCTAACACACACCAGCAGAGCAGGGCACACAGCCCGTGCCCCAGGGAGCACTGCACTGTTGTGCACGGAGCCCGCAACAGCCGACACTGGGCAGAAACATGAGTCACCGCTTTGAATCTCTCCCTCCCCCTGTATCCAATCCTCAGCAGACCAGGGCTGACAATGAGAGCACAGCTCGCTCTTACATCTCTAGTGACAGCTATGAGAGATCAGTTCACCTGACACAGACTGGTGCCAGGCTGGCTCCACACCAGGTCTCCCAGCTTGATCACATCTAACCCCGAGCCCATTCAGCTGTTTGCATTACCTAAAGCAGAACAGTGATCAGAAACTCAAATCCCCTATGTCTCTAAATCCATCACTATTCTTGGAGATCGCTCTTCATTTCCTTGTAATGCATATTTTTTCTGGACAGAGAAAGTTTCTGGGCAGAGAAAGCTTTGACTGCAGCAACTCCTGGAGAAAATTCCTGCTAGAAGAGTCATGCCGCACTTCCCTAGTGAAAGGCTAAATACATACTCCATCAAGGGATGCATTTGAAGAACTGCTTTTCAGGTTAAAGGACTGCTGTTGTCCTCACCTAGCTTTCACCTCGTGTTCTCCTAGGCTATGTAAGGTGTGTCTATGTTACAGTTTTAGTTCAGATCAGAAGCGTGCTTTTGAAGCAAACCCCTCTTGAGCATACCCACTCATTGTGCTTTGGGTTGCATTGTGGAATGGGCTTGGTGATCATGACTTCCGTTTAGATAAAACTAAACTGTAAAATAGGCTCCAGGACCATACCTAATACGCTCTAATCACTAAAAGATGTGTAGATAGGACCAGACAAGAGTTAGCTCCCAGTAAAACACCCCCAGCCAAACACAGCATGGATGTCAAGCCATCAATAACTGTTCTGCTCTACAGATCGGTTTCTAACAGGCCACACTACCTGTAACATAAACACAGATACAATACGCAGATGCAAGGTGTATTTTGTGTTCCTATGAAGCCACACGCACAGCTAGATCTCCTATGCATGCCCTTCTGCAACTTTTCCCCATTGAGCCACAACTGCTTATGGCAAGGGGGGTGAAAACAATGCGATGTTCTGCATATGAGAGACTGACTAATCAAATATTACCGTGGGGCTCACCTTTCAGCCAAGCCAGAAATTGATTCTTTGCTCCAACTGCCATTACTTCTGACTGGGCTGACAGACTTTTTAGAGTCTGTTTTAGCTCATTTACAAGTATATCACGTTCATATTATGTATTTGTTGTCTGTTTACTTCCATCTATTGGACAGGCTAGATATGAAGCCATTGTGCATGATGTCACCCAGGCAGGACCCATCAATTAAGCCCTTCACTGAAGCCAGAAGAATCCTTTGTCTGTATGTTAAAGAGTCCTTTCCTCTAGCACAACACAATAAGGCTTATTAGTGACAGTCCATTTCTTTCTGCTCGTTAAACTGATTGATTGTTACCAGATGGGTTTGAGAGATGCTTGGATTGAAGAAGGTGGTTTTCTTTCCCTTGGCCATATTAACATGTTGCCCTAAAATTCACATGCATCCTTCAAACTCTGTCAGAGCTACTTCAGTAGCAAATTGCATATCCCTCTTTGCCTCTTGGAGATGACTGAAACCCCTGCTGCTGCTTCCATCAGCACTGATTTCTACCACCTTTTTTTTTTTTTTTTTTTTGATCCCTCTGTAACCCAGCTGTCTACTCAGCTCACCAAGACAGGTTAATTACAATCAGCCTCACTGTATCCTTCCAAATGAACTAAAAAGGACCTGGCTCTCTCCCACTCTGCAACTCCAGTAATTATTTGCAGCTGTGGAAAGTGGATGTTAAAATTTTGGAGAATCAGAACAATTCTCCTCACTTTACACTCACTTCTCTGAACCGCCCTATAGTTTGTAAGTTAGGGGGAGTTCAGCTCAACTATTTATGGAAAAGAGTGACTACTTAGTTTGGTTTTTCTGAACATTGATTGCATAAATTCCTACCTATAGCTAGGTAAAGTCTACCTGTCCATCTCATATTTATCTATTAAATGGTAATTTTAGCAAAATCACAATAGCACTCTGAGTAGAGCCAGCTAATCAGAAAAATGCATATGGCCATAAGAGTACTTCACTCCTTCTAACAACTATCTATGCTACCAACAGACATTAAAATCCCGACAGACCCAAATCTCATGCTCAGGGAACCCTGATATGACAGAGGATGGTTGCATTTTTGTCACAAGACAGGGAAAAGTAGAAGGACATGGAACACATCCTGGCCAGCAACAAAGCACACACCCAAACAGAGCTAAGGATAAGGAATACCTGTCCTTAGTAAGCCATCAGGAAGTAAGCCCATTTCCTTTAAGAAATCCACCTTCTGCATCCTCTCACAATTTCAGAAATTGAGATATCTAAAATCTGTAACATTTCTAAATGTATTATGCCAAAACATTTGAGAGTCATTGAGACATCATCCCTCCACAGAAGTGCAGAAGCGTAGCTTAGCAGGACGTGGAAACTGTGGGGTGGAAATAGATAAGATAGCCAGCCAGCAACTGGGGATTTTAAGCTAAAAGATTATCTGAGCCTTAATATATCTGTTATTTGTTACCCCTCACCTTTTAAGAAGTTTTAAAATTTTATTTATTAACTAAGTATGTTCTAGCAGTAGTGACACGACAGAGAGAAGAATAAAGCTGCAGACTCCCAGTCATGAAGAAAAGCTCCATGGACAATAGAAGGAAGGAAAGTTCAGCTGATTCCATTGAACCAAAAAGAAAATGCCATGTAGGGACAATGCCCTTGTCACCTCAATGCATTACAGAAGTGGCTCCAAAGTGTTGAATGTCCCCTTTCTTCTCCTCTCCCTTTTTCAGACACAGTATCTAATTGCTGTCTTCCTGTTGGGCACATCCTTGCCTCCGAGTTCAGCGTAGTGCTTTCTAAACGCAGGGTGAGGAAAAGGGGAAAAAGGAGGAGGGAGAAAGAAGGAAAATATCACCTGTTGAACCGCATTCAGATTTAGTCCTAGTCATTTGTCATTTCTTCATTACAAGTTACAGACCTGCACTTATCCAGCAGTCAGTACAAGAGCTTGATAAAGCACAAGCTCTAAAGCTGCAAACTAGTTGCCTTCATCATGTTAACTTAAAAACTAGACTCCATATTTTACTGTCTTCATGGCCTGCAATTAGCACCCTATTTGAAAGTGTGCTAGAAAGGGAGCATGGAGACAAGCTGTGATCAGTTCCTGCCCAGGTGCTCTTCTCGGCTCAGAAGTAGAGAGCCAACAGAAGAACCACCTACCAGTACCTGCACCCAGAAATCGGGGGCTACATTCTCCATTTTTCCCCACAAGAGGCATGTAGACTTTTAGAGGGACACATGAAAGCTGCAGATACTCCCTCTGCACCCAAAATATTAGACCTAACCATCCACATAGTGTATATGGCCCTGCACGTACCCAGAGCCCAGGTGTGCCCGTGAGCCACGACAACCATTCTGAATCCCTGCCAGCTCCCAAAAGAGCCTTTCCCCGTATGTGACAACCACGACATAAGCTTGCCCTAGGAACGACAAAGCAGGTCACTTAAAACATGAACGAATCTTTCAGGGACCTCCCCGACTCCTAATGCCATTAAGCTGTTCAAATGTGCTTCTTCCGTGACAGGTGGCACCATATGGAAAGCTCATTATGCTACTCCAGTATTCCAACCAGAAGCCTCTGGGGCCTGTTTTGGAAGAGGAATTTGCCCATGTTTCGGGGATGGTGTAACCCATCATGACCCTCCGCTCCTGTTTGATCTCTCGCAAGATCCTTCTGAGTCAAATCCTCTATCAGCTGACACTGAGCCCTTGTCCGACACTGTAACGAGGAGAATAGGAAAAGCTGTAGAAGAGCATCGCAAGACACTGACTCCAGTCCCACAACAGCTGTCTCCTCACAATAATATATGGAAGCCGTGGCTGCAGCCATGCTGTGGCACATTCCCTTTCTGTTGGTGTGATGAAGAAAACAACAAAGCAGATGGCATACTTTAATACCAAAATCAAAGTACAGTTAGCTTAAAAAAAAGTAATAGTTTTCACATTCACATGACTACAGTCATACAGAGATAAGGGTCAAATTACACTGGAATAACTGAAAGGGACGTTATTGATGCTTTTTATTCAACCTTTTCTCTTACTCACAGAAATTCAGTAAGCCTGTAGTTTAAAAAAAAAATGAAAATGCTCCGAACATATTCTACCTGTGGGTCACCTGTATAGTCTATCCCTCAAGTGCATAATTCTGGATCAAATACCCAAATAAATGAAACAAAATTTCTTTCCTTACTGATTTTCAATTCAAATAAATTATGAATGATAAGAGAGCAAACTTTGACTGCGCTGTTTGTACAGATAATATGCTTGTTAAGGCAACAGGACTGAGCCCAAGAGGGGATCTCTATTCAGGCCTTATCTTTTTAATGAAAAAAACTGTCCTGTGTTTAAAAGCACAGTTGCACATTTAATTTGGAAATATACCAAAACACATTGGCCTCTAAGAAATAAACACCTACTAATTTACAGCAATTTTTTTGCCTCATCTGTACATTCATTTATCTATCATGCAAGAATTCCCAGTAAAAACTGAACTGACAAGTATGTTTTAAAAATCAGGTAGCTAAAGTTATCATCTCAAGTTCAGCAGTGAAGTATCTAGCTATTCTGAAACACTAAACCACAGCAATTCCTACTGACATACATTTTCTACGTTGTTAAATGATGTTACTCGCGAGAGCATTGAAAATCATCACCCAGCTGCCTTGACAAGATAGGTCCCAAATTTCACGATCTGTGAGACCAATTCATAAGCTGCATGTCCCACTTCAGTGATAATGCTCCTGATTTCATGAGTGCTATTATGCCCCATGAAAAATGTGCTTTCTTTTGTGAGAGAGCACTTTGTTTTCAGTAAGAGGTGTTAAAAAATCCACTGCACACACTAATCACTTCAGTGTACAGGTCATCTTCTCCAAGCCAAACAAGCGTCAGCACTCTGCACTGTCATTAGGGAAAGGGAGGGAATTAAATTATCTAATCCTCTCTTGCTGCTCTCAGGTTAAATAAATTCATCTCTCAATATATAATCCTAACCATGCTCTTGCAGGGTTTTTGTGTCAAACCCGATTTTTAAGCGGAGGTTCCTGCATTTTCTGCTTCAAAAAAAGTAGATTGTCTGCCAGAGACTCAGATTCAAACTTCTAAGCCTTCCTGGACATTGTATATTCACTCTTACCACACAGCTAAAGGTCACCAAGATTTTAAAAGTAACAAGGGATGGTAAGAGCAGCACAGCAGGTGCTTCAGGTGACTTGTTTCTTTAAAGCTAGCTGCCTTGCAGAACCACGCCAGTGCAGCTCTGTTCAGTACCGAGGTGGTCCGTGTGTCATTTTTTGCCTTTTAGAAACGGGAGGAGATAAGGCGGCCCATGGCAGCTGATAATCCCAGAGCAGCGCGCTGCTCTCTCAGCTCTTGGGCTGCAACAGCAGGTCCCAGCCCCTTCACCAGCCTCAGGACAAAAAAGTGTGTACGCCTGGACTATGTGCCTTTTGCAGTGTTTTCAGACAAGCTCCCGACTTACACACCCAATCTGGTATGTCACTGGTGTGATAAGTTGCTATGTTATTTTGCTCTAAACAGCACAGGTTGTGACCATGATGCAGCACTAAACACCGGTCTCCAAAAAGCTGACCGGGCATTTCTTCAGGTTATTTTCTTTTTTACCTTTCCTCTAAAAGGTCACCAAGCAAGTTATGTGGAAAGTGTTCCACATAAATCAAAGGGCTAATCTGACAATGAACTGATAGGACACATCAATGCCCGACTTGACAGAGTATTAAAAAAAAAAAAATACATTTGTTCTTATTGCTTGATAGCATTTAAATCCACATCAGCATTGCTAAGAACTCGTCAGAAGATTTGACATTTTTCTGTGGCTGACAGGGATTGAAACCAGAGCGGCTGCATTTTGCTGGATTCATGCAGAAATAAAAAAGCATAAAAGACCATGCATTTTAAAGGCAGTTTGGCCGATTCACAGATGGAAGAGAAATCTTATTGCTCAGTGGGGAACAAAGCCAAAGCTGTTCTCTTCTAGAGTCAAGCCAGTCAGTTCAGTAACATCGACATTGTCAGTTAAGCATGAGGATACGCTTCTTCTCAGTTCACCTCAGTGCCACCCCCACCCCCCTACCCCGTTTACACACAAGAACATGCCCAGTCACAGATGAGGCCACGATTAGAGCGTTTACCAGGGTATGGGAAGGTGTTCAAGCACCCACGCAGCATGTAAGCATAGGTCCAAGCTCCTGTTGATAGACTGGGAAGCCGAGTACATCAGCAAAACCCCTGAACTCCGTCTCGAAGCATAGTGTGAACACTTTCAACCCAAGTTAAAAGACAGGCTAGGAGCTAGAAACATGCGCAGAGTGCATTTGTATTGGCTTATACCACGTCCATCATGCAAGCCTGCCCTTCACCTCACAGGAAAAAAATCACCCCGTCTAAAAGCAAACACTGAACGTTTGCGCAACACCTCACTCCTCTGAAAGGTAAATTTGCTAAACTGCCATACAGAGTCAGACGCTAAGGACTCACATAAATTTATTTGCTGCCTTCCTGACATCCAAACACAGATAATTTCTTCTTGGCTGGCATCTGTGGAAAGCCAGAGGGGCTTTTGGGCAAGAGGGGGAGGAAACAGGCCTGGCAGCATGGAGTAACTGGCTTTTGTCAAGTAACTGTCAGAGACCTCAGCCAGGCACAGGGAAATGGGCTCTCTGCACACAGAGAGGGAGGAAGAGGGCAGACAGTGCATGCAGAGGTAATCTGTAGATGACAAGGAGAAAAAAGTAATAGGAAGTCACTGAATAGGATGTACTATGTCACTTAAAAAACCAACCAAACAAACAAAAAAACCATTGGGGAGGGAGAGAAAGGATGCCCTAAGCAGACTATTTTCAGTCCTAAATTCCTTTCACTGTCTAAAGCTAAATGTATCTTAAAAGATGCACATTTTGAGGAGACAATGGTAAGCAGGGAAAGGAAGTAAATTATTCTACCTGTTTCCTGCAGATCCTAGCCATGGAGTGGCTGCTGATCTCTTCGTCTGTATACACTCTAGCCAGAGGATGCAAGCTCTGCACGAGCTGTTGTTCTGATCTCCTGGGAAATGTATATTCCCCATAAAGCAGGTGAACCCAACATCACACTTAGGAGTTGTCCTGGTGCACGCTTCCACATAAAATGCATCAACAGGTAAAAAGCTGTTACAAAAACTATTTGCATTTGAGTAATACCGAAAGAAATAAACTCTTACGTCAGTTACCTAGGTTTGCTTGAAAAATCATCTATAAAGATCTTTTGCAAAATATATGAATATAGGAATAAAAGCTAAATTATATGCTTTCTCCTGTCTTTTCTCATGTTCTCTCCCTTCATAGAAGGGAGCAAGCACGGCATAAAATGGCCTGTTGGGAAAACCTGAGACAAATGGCAAATCTCCAAGCTGGTGTTAACCATTGGAGAATGTGCCTACACACAGTTAAATATAGACACCACAGAGAGGGAAGTATTACTCTGCAACAAATGAAGTTTGTTTTTACTGAAAGAGCTGTGGCTGAACTGTGTAAATGTTTGACATTCATGTTGTATGAAGCTGACTTCCATCCAAATAGTTTGATCGTTATTAAATGACATTTGGAATCGCTGCATTAGACTGACTCAACAAAGTAATTGTAGAGTCTCACAGGAGTGAGACAATAAGCTTCTAAGAGACCTCACTTCACCGTGTTTAAATATCAGACACGTCGCTTTGCGCTCTGCTGGGACCCAAGGGAATGCCAGCACATGGATCACAAGATCCCATCATTTGAGGATGCAAAATAATCGTGTAACAGATAAACTGAGAAAAGCAATTGGAGCTCAAAGTTTATCCAGCTTGAAATGCCTGGGGACTCTGAGTATATTTGAGAAGCATTTACATAAATGACCAAAAAGAAGGAGTAACATCAAAAAACTTTTGCTCACCGCCAGGCTGTAAGTTAAAATACACACACACACATTGTGAATAAAACATTGGAGGATTTTTGTAGAATGTTTTGATTGTAATGTTACATCTAAACAACTCTGTAAACATCCAATTTATTAAAAACCTAGTTTCTCTTTGAATTACCGTACTACTGCGTTACTAAGATTTTTTGAAAGCAAGAAAAAAATATTGAAAAAACAACCCAACCCCACATTTCTGAGATAAATGGGGATATTACAGGTTCTAAACGACCCTGGTTTCTGTTCTGCCATTTGTCTAAAAGCTGTAAATGAAAGGTTTGGAAACACAAAGAATTTAAGGAGGTTTAAAAAAAGTAAGTCTTTAAACTAAACAAAACGTTAAACAGGTACCCACCCATCACATGCAATAAGTTTTGTTCCAAGTATTTAAAACTATCAGAAAGCTTTGAAAGTCACAGTTCTCTAAAATAAAACAAATCACCTGTTTCTGGTATTACACACCTAAAGGAAAATCACCTATATTTATCATGGTTCACAAGCCTCTAAGGTACCATAAAAGAGAACAAACACTTTTCCAAGGCAGTTAACGTCATGCCATCCTGAAGCGGGAAAAGTATTAAAATAATCACAAGTTGGAGGCTGGCTCTCTTGGAATTTTATTTTTTTTTTTTCCCCTCCAGTTTGTTGAAGTTGAAACGGTTCTGACAACAAAGTAAAAATCAGGAAAAATGCTTGCAACTATATTTTTTTCCTTTATTCACAGTGTATCATTATTAGTCTTCTAACGATTTTTATAATGTTTAGAGTCAATTATATATCACTGTATTTTTTTAACTACCTTTGCTATAATTATGGTATGCTGTTATTACAAGTTGAAAGTTTATACCAGGATGCAACGTATTGCTTGAGTGTCACCCCTTTTAACTGTCAGCACCAAAGAAACTATTATTTATGAGCCAGCCAACTTAGGATGAACAGAATTTCAG